TACAATGGAATAGAACCCTTATATTTATAGGGAAAGAGTGACTTGGCCACCAAGTAATAATCCATAAAAACTTTCTAAAATATAGACATTCACCTTAAATACAATTCTATTTATAACATTTTCTTAATTTTGTCTTCTTTTATAAGATGCACGTAAACTGTGTTTTGATAATTAAATTAAAGGAGAACGTACAATTAGTGACAGGCAAAGTCAAGGTTTTTTTCTTTCTTTTCGCTCTGTACAATTAGTCATTAGTTTCTTCTAGCGGACTTTTGTTCACAATAGTATTTATTTTGAAAATAGTTATTATTCACTTTAATTTCCATATTTGCTTAGTAGCGCTTGTTGAGCACCTTGTTTAATGTCTTTTCCATGCTGTCATGAGTAGCGAAGTCAAGATATTTAGTAAGGGGTGTCAAACTTTTAAAAAGCAAATAACCTACAAAGTCAAAAGGATTCAACACATAAAGTACATACATAAAATTAAAATTTTAACCTTTCTAAAACGTGCAATTTTTTGGGAAGGAGTATTAATTGACACCCCTCAGAGCTATATGACTCTGCCACTGGCTATAATATGGTCAAAGCTGAAGAAAATTACTATCCCGATTTTAAATAATTGTTATTTGACAAACTTAATTTATCTCAAAATATTTGATGTTTTAAAAATACAGAAAGTTATTCATTTGTTTAAATAGATATTTACTATTTCAATTAGTGTATTGTTAATTACCATGAAATGATTTGACCAATCGTCTTAAGCATTTGTATTTCGTTCGGTGGTTTGAGGTCTTGAGTAGCTTTATATGAGGTATTATGACTTGCATGCATGGTCGATTTTGGTTTTCGAGTGGTTCAGGATTGATTTGGAAGAACGATTCTCATTTTTGAAGTTGTAAGTTGGAAGAGTTGACCAAGTTTGACTTTAGGAAATTTGACCTCGGATCAGAGTTTTTATGGTTCCATTAGGTCCGAATGGTGATTTAGGATTTGGGCATATGCCCGGATTTGCATTTGGACGTTTCTATAAGGTTTCGACTCTTTTTGGCAAAAGTTGGCAATTTAAAGGTTCGGAAAGTTCATAGGTTTGACCGGGAGTTGACTTCAATGTTGTCGGGTTCAAATTGTTGTTCCGGGAGTTGGAATACGTTCGTTATGTCATTTAGAGCTTGTGTACAAAAATTTCCGAGTTGGTTTGATGGGAATCAGACGCTTGGTTTGTAATTTTTGGAAGTTCTTGAGTTTCATTGTGATTTTGATGCGCTTTGGTGTTTTATTTGGGGGGTTTTTCATTTTATTTTGTTGTTCCGAGCATGCTAGCGAGTTCGTATGAGGTTTATGTACTTGTTGGTATGATTGGACAGAGGTTATAGGGGCCTCGAGTGTGATTCGAGATGGTTTCAGATCATTTCAGATGGTATATGTGATATTGTTTTTGTTAGAATAGGATTAGTATTATACTCTTGCGCTAGTATTTATTTATACTGCATTAGAGAGTTGTACAAATATGCTTGTATTCTTGTACAGTGGACAACTTATAAATACAAAACCCTTACCCTGTTTAGGGTAAGCAAAGCATTTATACCAATTCTATCATGGTATCAGAGCCAAGCCGCGATCCTGAGTATTAATTCTGTCATCTTCCGGTGTTTCTCTCTCCGGCGACATCGTCTTCCCGTTACTTCGTTGTTGTTCTTCTTCTACATTATCTGCTGCTACAGGCACTTCCTCAGCTTCGGTTGGCTTTGGTTGTTAATGTGATGACCCAAAAGGTCATCACTTGTTTTAAAATGAAACCTCCGTGTTCTGAGGCCTTGAAAACCTCAATTGAGTCACCTCGAGTTGCATGCGTAGTCCGGACGCGTAGCCGGAAAGCTTAAATATGATAATCTATGAAAAACAATAAGTTTTAATTATAGAATGAGCTAATTTGACTTCGGTCAACGTTTAGGATAAACGGACCCGGACCCGTAATTTGATGGTCTTGGAGGGTCCGTAGGAAAATATGGGACTTGGGCGTATGCCCGGAATCAAATTCCGAGGTCCCGAGCCCGAGAAATGAATTTTCAAAGAAAATTATTTTCTGAATTTTTTTAGAGAAATATGAAATGAAATTTGATTAGAACATGATGGTATCGGTCCCGTATTTTGGTTCCGGCGTCCGGTACAGGTCATATATATGATTTAAGTCATTTCTTTAAAGTTTGGTTGAAAACAGACGTCGTTTGACGTGATCCGGATCTAAATTGCTAAATTTGATAATTGATAAAGTTTGAGAAAAAGTTCTTGATTTTGAGGTTTCATACATTGTTATTGAGGTTATTTTGGCGATTTGATCGCACGGATGAGCTCGTATGATGTTGTTGAGTTAGTACGTGTGTTCGGTTAGGAGCCCCGAGGGCTCTAGTGTGTTTCGTATATGTTTCGGGAAGTTTTGAACTTAGGAAAAAGTTGCAGGTCTCTGAAGTCAGGTCACGCGGTCCGCGATGGAAACTTTGCGGCCACGGTGGGGACTCCGCGACCGCGGTGGGATTTGTGCGTTCCGCGATGAGCAAGGCCAAGCCTTCGCGGCCGTGCTCGATTTCTTGCGGTCCGCGGTGGAGGCCTGTGCGGCCGCGGTCTATTTCGTGTGATCCGCACAGGACACTGGACCGCAGTACCTCAGGAAGGCCTGTGCGGCTGCAGTCCATTTTGTGCGGTCCGCACAGGGGCCTGAGAGGGGTATAAATAGACGGGATTTCCAGTTATTTTCATTTTTCAAAACCCCAAAAACCTAAGAGGTAATTTTTCAAACAACCTTTCTTCTCCAAATCAAATGTAAGTCATTTTTAACTAGTTTTCTTCAATCATTAACATTTTTTAACATGATTTCAACTTCAAATCAATGATTTTCATGGGGGAAATTGGGTGTTTTGGGTAAAGCCTATGTTTTTCAAAAATTGGGGAATTGGACCTCGATTTGAGGTCCGATTTCAAAACAAATTACATATTTGGGTTCGTGGGGGAATCAGTAATCGGGTTTTGGTTCGAACCTCAGGTTTTGACCGTGTGGGCCCGGGGGCGATCTTTGACTTTTTGGGTAAAACTTTGGAAAACTCATTTTCATGCATTCAAATTGATTCATTTAGCATTTATTGATGTAATTAAGTAACTTGTGGCTAGATACGAGCGAATTGGTGGTGTAATCAAGGGGTAAAGCTATAATTGAAGATTGAGTTGTGTTCGAGGCATCGAGGTAAGTGTTTGGTCTAACCTTAGCTTGAGGGATTAGGAGTTGTGTCCTATTTGGTATTTGCTTCTTGTTGAGTACGACGTATAGGCATGGTGACCTGCGAACATTAAGGAGCGTTGGCTCCAGCGGTATAACGAATTGTGACAGTATAAGTGATAATTGAAACTCTAGGGTATTAGTTCGAGTTGTGAAGTGAATTGTGAAGTAAAAGTAAGAAAGAGAAGAGATCATTATGTTGCCCCCCTTGCCGGGCTATTATGAGTTGCGGTTCCCTCTGCATTGTGTTCTTAATTGATATTACGGATGTTTAGGTTGATGATTCTTAGTGTTTAGCATTGTAACAAGTTTGGTTATAGCTGAGGTATTTAGATGTTGTAACAAGTTTGGTTATAGCTGAGGTAGTTAGATGTTGTAACAAGTTTGGTTATAGCTGAGGTAGTTAGATGTTGTAGCAAGATTGGATCGGGTTGCACGCCGCAACAGATATTATATTGGATCGGGTTGCATGCCGCAACAGAAATTATATTGGATCGGGTTGCACGCTGCAACAGATATTATATTGGATCAGGTTGCACGCCGCAACAAATATTATATTGGGTCGGGTTGCACGCCGCAACAATGTTAAGTGATAAGGGATCGGGTTGCGCACCGCAACAGTATTGTTATTGTATTGTTGTAGATATTGAGCTGTCCTTTCATATTTTATTAAGTTTCCATTGGACTTGATATGTTTCCCCGAAACATGTACCCCCCTCCCATTTTAAACTGCTTATTCCTGTTTATTTTCCGCCATATATTATATAACTGCACAGGTTTATCTGGGGTCTGGTCCTAGCCTCGTCACTACCTCGCCGAGGTTAGGCCAGACACTTACCAGCACATGGGGTCAGTTGTTCTGATACTACACCCTGCACTGTGCGCAGATCCAGGAGCAGCTTTCAGACAGTAGTTGGAGGGCTTCCTTCAGTCCATTCGAAGACCCAAGGTAGACTTGCAGGCGTCTGCAGGCCTTGGCGCCTCCCTCTATCTCTATTTCCTATTTCATTTCCTTTGTTTAGAAACAGTGTGTTGTATTTCTTCAGACCTTGTATGTAGTAACTCTTAGACAGTCTGTGACACCAGGTTTTGGGTATATGAGGTTTTATAAGTTGTAATAGATGTAGCCTTAAGATATATAATTGTTGACTTCCGCTTAATTATTTAAAATTCCGCTTTTATCATATTATCGGCTTGTATTTGTTAAAAAGAAGCAAAAATAAAAGTACAGCAAGTAGTTAAGGTTTGGCTTGCCTAGTTCCCATTAGTAGGCACCATCATGAATCCCGAGGGTGAGAAATCTGGATCGTGACAGTTAACAAGTCCTTCTAATTCTTCATCATATTTGCTTATTCACGTTGACTTTAAAGTGGGGTTTCCTCTATCTATAATTTTTCTTTGTGTCCCTATTGATAGTGGACAAACTCTAGTGATTATATCAATTGAGTTTAGGTACTGCCACTGGATTTTTGTTATTGATTAGGTGTTATTAGTTGGGTAATCTTTTTATTGAAATTATATTCAACTTGCTTTGGTGCTTCCATTACTTTGGTGCAACATGATTCTTCTTGGATTAGCATTATTCTGCTTTACATGATGGCATCTGCAATCCCTTTCTTTGTTCATATAAAGGATTTGGTCCCTGAAACATTGCACCAAACTAATTATTTGAAATGTACTCACTTACTTCAACCGGTGTTGGAGATATATGATCTCTTTGTCCATATTGATGGTTCTAATGTGGAACCTTTATAATTTATGCCTGTTACTAAGGGTTCATCATCTGTTCAGCAAATTAATCCTGAATTTCAAAGTGGCGTAAGGTTGACCGTCTTATTATTACTTGAATTCATGCTACTATACATTTTGATCTCATTCCTTTACTCTATGATTGCTCTACTGCTGTTGATGCTTGGTCTAGGCTTAAAATACATTTTCTTCATCAGTCTACTACCCGTGAGATGCAGTACAAATATAGTCTTCAGACGTTTAAAAAAGGAGACCTATCTATTGATTCGTACATAGAAAAGATACATGAATTTGCTGATTGCCTTCATTCTATCGGCCGTGGTGTGGATGACCCTAAATTGGTACGTTGTGCTTTGAATGGTCTTCCTATCTCTTATGAATCATTTATTGTTATGGCTTCGAATATGTGCTCTCCTCCGACTTTTGCAGAGTTGTGGACTATGCTCATTACCCACGAGGTGCACTCTGCCTACAAGTGATGTGGCCTCTGCTCCTCTGCCTACCGCCTTGTTAGCTGGTTCATCTTCTGATATTACTTAATCTTCTCATGTTGGTCCATCTTCAGGCCGTGGTAACTTTGGTCATTCTAGAAACTATCGTACGCAATCTGGTCGTGGTTGTGGCTCTGGTCGACGAGGACGTGGTTATCCTTTTCAATAGTCTTATGGAGGTCACTATTAGCATAATGTTCGGCAGCAGTCCACAATTCCTTATGGATATGATAAGGGTGTTCTTGGTGTTTCCCCTATTCAGCTACCTCCATTTGCCATGCCAAACCCGACTACTCCCATGATTACTTGTCGGATTTGTAGTATGACTGGCCATACAACTATCTCTTGCCCACATCGTCATAATTATTCATTTGCTCCCACCACAACGCAAGCACACTTGGTAGCCTTATCTCTCAATTCCCCGACTGATAGGAATTGATATTTGGATTCGGGAGAGACCTCACACATGTCTTTTGTCCTAGGTAATATTTCTTCTTCTGCTTTCAATAATTCTATACTTGTTGGCAATGGTAAATCAGTTCCTATTCATTCTAATTGCTCTTCCTCCTTTTCCACTTCTTCGCATACTTTTTTCTTACCCTCTGTCTTATGTGTTCCACTTCTTCGTAAAAAGTTACTTTTTGTTCGTCAATTTACCAAAGATAATATTTGCTCAATTGAATTTTTTCCTTAGGGTTTTGTTGTGAAGGATTTGCAGACAGGAAAAATCCTCCACAAATGCCACAGTGACGGGCCTCTCTATCAATTTTTTTAACTTGCTTCCTGCTCGTCCTCCTCTTCATCAGAAGCCCTCACTGTCTCCTTTGTTCCTGCATCAGTTTGGCATGCTCGTCTTGGCCATCTACGATCTAAAATCATGTCATCACTTAGGTCTACGAATTTTATTTCTTTTAGTAATACAGACCTTGGGTCGTTCTTTTATAATTCTTGTTTGACTTCTAAGCATTTTACTTTACCATTTTCTATTAGTACTTCTTCTTCAACTCATGTGTTAGAGTTGATTCATTCTAATGTATGGATGTCACCTGTTCCCTCTATTACTGGATTTCGATATTATGTTATTTTTATTGAGACCTTTTCCAAGTATTTGTGGCTTTATCCATTGCGGAATAAAATTGAAGTTTTTCATTGCTTTTCTGCATTTAAAGCTCTTGTGGAAAAGCAATTTTCTGCTTCTATCAATAGTTTTTGTTCTGATGGTGGGGGTGAATTCACTAGTGCACAATTCTTGACATTTCTTTCTAATAATGGTATTATTTTTCAGCACTCTTGCCCTCACACACCACAACAAAATGGTGTAGTTGAGCGCAAGCATTCTTATCTTGCTGATATGGCTCGTACTCTCCTTTATCATGCCAAAGCCCCGTTAAATCTTTGGGTTGAGTTTTTTCAAACAGCCACATACTTGATAAATCGACTACCGACTCTCTTACTCAATTATTCCTCTTCATTTTGTCTTCTTTTTGCGATTGATCCCGACTACTCTATTTTACGTACATTTGGTTGCTTCTGTTACCCCAATTTACGCCCTTATCGAATTCACAAACTAGATAATCCCTCATCTCCTTGTATCTTTATTGGCTATAGTTCCAATTACAAAGGATATCAATGTCTCCATCTTGATATTCAACGTGTTTATACAAGTCGATCTGTTCGCTTTGTCGAACATTTCTTTCCCTATGCCATTCCGCATCTTCTTCCTTCTTTCCTTAATTTTTTCTTCCTCTACTTTCCATACATCATTGCCTCAGCCCTCCCGCGTTTTATCACCTACTACAGTACACTCTAATTCTCCCTCTTATGATGTTCTTGCTCCTCCTACATCTCAAGTTTTGCTTGACCATTCTTCTATTACTCCTCAGAGTTCTTCCCATTGCCTCCGTCTAGTTCCACACCATCTATACCTATATCTCCTGATCATTCTACATCAATTCCTTATGTGCCTTCTACTTCACCATTTCCACCTCCTTCTCATCATATGGTTACCAGGTCAAAAGTTGGTGTTGTCAAACCCAATAAGAAGTATGCTTTACTTGCTCAGTCTCTATTTGAATTACCTGTTGAGCCATCGTGTTATAGTTCTGTGGTTAAGGATCCTCGTTGGCGTGTTGCTATGGCTGATGAGTTTAATACTTTTCTAGCTAATCATACATTTTCTCTTGTCCCCCGCCCTCCAAATATCAATGTAGTTGGATGTAAATGGGTATATCGGGTTAAGCAAAAATTTGATGGATCTCTTGATCGTTGTAAGACACGTTTACTAGCTAAGGGATATACAGAGTCTTATGGTATGGACTATGGTAAGACATTCAGTTTGGTAGTTCGTCCTGCTACTATTAGACTGGTTCTTTCTATTGCCTTATCTCGTGGATGGCATATTCGTCAATTTGACGTTAAAAATGCCTTTCTTAATGTTTTATTAACTGAGACTGCTTATATGGAGCAACCACAGGGCTTTCGGGATTCTCACTATCCCCATCATGTTTGTAAGCTCCTCGGGCCTGGTTTGCTCGATTTGGCCACTTTCTTTTCTCTCATGGATTTTCTAATAGTCGAGCATATAGCTCCTTATTTGTTTATAAATCTGAAGAATGATATTTATATCTTCTCCTTTTTGTGGATAATATTATCCTTATAGGGTCAGATTCTTCATTGTTATCATGGTTTTCTGACATGCTACATGCTGACTTTTCTATTAATGATCTTGGAGATCTTCATTTTTTTTCTTGGAGTTCGTGTTTCTCGCACTTCTGCAGGTCTTCATCTTTCTCAGCTAAGTATGCTCGGGATATTCTTGATAGAACTGGTCGTATTGGTTGCAAGCCAGTTGCTACTCCAGTATCTTCTTCTACTTCTTTGGACTCTTCAGTCTCTTCTCCAGTTGACAACTCCCTTTATCGCAGTTTGGTTGGTACTTTGCAATATCTAACATTAATGCGACCAGATATTTCTTATGCTATTAATAGTGCCAGTCAACATCTGCAGTCCCCTCAGCCTCATCATTTTACAGCAGTCAAACACATTTTAAGATATATTGTTGGTACATTGCATCACGGTCTTTTGATACGTCCTTCAAATTCTATCTCATTAACTGCTTACTCTGATGCTGATTGGGCTGGTTATCTTGATACTCGACACTCTACCTTTGGTTCTCTTTTATTTTTGGTAATCATCTAATCTTTTGGTCTTCTAAGAAGCAACACATCGTGTCTCGCTCTAGCACAAAGGTCGAATATCGTGCCATCGCACATACTGTTGCTGATATTCTTTGGGTTCAACAGTTATTGCGTGATCTTCATATTTATCTTCCGGATCCTCCTCTTGTTTATTGTGACAATATTAGTCCATTATACCTGACTGTGAATCCTATCTACCATTCACAGACAAAATATTTAGCTGTTGATTTCCATTTTTGTTCGTGAACGGGTTGCTTCTGGTTCTATTTTGGTGCTCTATTTACCAACCAATCAACAACTTGCTGATATTCTTACTAAAGGTCTTGTTTCCCATAAGTTTAAACGTCTTAGAGACAATCTCCACATGCATCCATGTGTCGATTGAGGGGGCGTGTTAGAATAGGATTAGTATTATACTCTTACGCTAGTATTTATTTATACTGCATTAGAGAGTTGTACAAATATGCTTGTATTCTTGTATAATGGATAACTTACAAATACAAAACCCTTACCCTGTTTAGGATAAGCAAAGCATTTGTACCAATTCTATCAGGTTTCTAGTGCATCTGTTGTGTTTCGCGATTGGGGGAGGCGATTCGCGATCGCGTAGAAGGTTGTGGGGCAGCTGGCTGATTTGTTTGCATTGTATTATTTGGTCTATGTACTGAAACTAATAACATTCGAGATTATGCAGGAATATACACAAAAGATCCTTTTTTTGCTCTCTTTAACCCTATGTCTCTTAACCCTAAGAGGTCTTCACCACGTTCGCGTCAGGTGGTAGAGCTAGCTTTTGCTTTCTCGCTTGGAAGTTCGTTATCGTGGAGTGTTGCTGGAGGCAGTGGCTAGTTGGCCTCTGCGTTCACGGTAGAGGATCGCATTCACGCTTCTTTGGTTCATTGGCTGTCACGATCGTGGGGCTCAAACGCAATCGCCTAGGGCATTTTCTGAGCAGTGCTAATTTGTTCTTCGCGATCGCAATAGATATCAGTGGGTCGTGACATACCACTACACCAATTTTGAATCTATCAACTTTTATCACCTCATTACTGATTTATTCGACCCGTAATTCTTAACTTTCCTTCTGATTTAGTTAGGAAAAAGAAAAGGGAAAGAGTATAAAGGTAGATTATCAGTTCCTTTTTTTTTTTGGTTTTTAAGATTACTTTATACTCCCTCTGTTCCAGTTTATGTGAACCTATTTTCTTTATGGTCCGTTCCAAAAAGAATGACCCCTTTCTAAATTTGGTAACAATTTAGTTTAAACTTACAATTCCACCCTTAATGAGAAGCTTTTATAACCACACAAATACTCTGGGACCCCTTTTGCTTTGTTTAGAACCACAAATTTCAAAAGTTTTTATTTTTTCTTAAATTCCGTGCCCAGTGAAACAGGTTCACATGGAACGGAGGGAGTATTAATTAGTCAAAACGTTACAGGGAGCTTTTCAAAGATTTTGCACTTTTCTTGAGGAAAAGTTTTTATGTCTTGATTGTATTTATAATCTATTTTTATAGACTAGAAACTTTATCATCATTTACATAAAGTGACTTTCCTTAGCTTTTGCTTCAAACCCAATAACCTTTTTTCTTTAGTTAATCTTCTTTTCTTTATAAGCAAGGACGTGCCTTTTTTCTTCCATTGGCAAAGTTATTACTTAATCAGGGCATTTGCATTTATACCTATTTTTTGTGTCACATTTTAATTTGTGTCTGCTTTGCAAAAAAAATTGCAAGCTTACCCGCTTTTTCGCATAACTTCAGTATACGGGGTTAAAGTAGCAAAGACAATCACGCAAAACTTCAGCATTCTAGTAGACGGATCTGAAGTTCAGCTCTAGAGCTGAAGTTTTTGTTTGTAACTGGCGAGCTTCAGCTCTAGAGCTGAAGTTTTTATTTTTTAACTGTCGAACTTCAGCTCTAGAGCTGAAGTTTTTATTTTGTAAGTAGATTATTTAAATGTTGTGAATTCACAAGAGATGAAGGATTGGATGCAGAAGTGTGCGACCAAAGTCTGAAAAGACATACATTCAATTTACATATGTTATATGCATTAATCATCTCCTTGGCCTCATACAACCAGTCTTTCTACCTGCTGGGGCAAAGCGTTTAATATTAAACTTCACGACTGTAATTTCAGTATAATAGAAAGAGAGTAGTATTTTTATTATTTATTCTTGTGATTTCATGTGTAATTTATTTCTTTTTCTTGGACTAGGGAAAAAAGGAGGTACACTGCAGCGTTGTGGGTAACATCGTAACAGGTATCAATATTTATTCCTCTCATATGTTAAAACCAGTACAATAGTTGATAATTGACAGTATTAAGATCACTTGGTGCAAAGCCGTTTTTGTAAGTAGATTATTTAGGGATAAACCTTACTTCTGGAAAAAGAAAAGATAAAACTTTGAGGAGGACAAGGAGGAGGAGAAAGAGAGTTGAAGTTGTTTAAAAAGTGGATATAAATTAAAAGTTTTAAAAAAAATTGGTATAAGTTAAATGGGGGCGACCAAATAGGGCGCCCCGTGCAATTTTTACGCTTAATGGACAATTAAAGTCGAGTCTGGGCCTATTGGGTCTTGTCTAGACAGGTTTTGGGTCTGCTTTTCATTCAAAATAAAAGAAGTGGATTGGCCCAATAAGTACTGCTAATCTCTGTACTTATTTGTCATGAAATTTTGAATAAAAATATATTAATTTCGGGACAATTCGGGACATTTGTATCCCAAAAAATTGAACTGAAAAACTGAAGTTCATGATACATTGGTTAATTCCTAAGTCGTAACCTTTTAGAATGGCTATCTGGTGTCATTTCTACACAATGAGAAAGTGCACAAATAGTTGTTTTAGGACCCTTATCTAAAGAAACGCCAAAATTTATAAAGTTTTCAAAGTTTAGCCGCTTTAGAACCAATTTAAGACTATCAAGTCTTAAGCTGAAATCGTGTGTCTGAATTTAGGCTTTAACAGAGGTTAACTTAATCTAAAAATCTAAAGAAGAAGCAGCATCATAAGCAATTTTGTGACATAAAGGACTAATATTACTCAAATACATATTTAGCTATTTTAAATCAGTCTAGACATTTTTTTTGTTGGGGGGTGGGGG